ACTGTAATTTGAAAAGGTCATTATACCTTTTTAAAATCTCGTTGATAAGTAAAAGCATTGAGAAATTTATCATCTTACAGTGAAGCGTAAATCTCGGGAAGGGGGGTGGGGTGGGGGTTGGCTTGCGGCATCTCCTTGAACAGTTTCCCTATATTGTTTTCTGACATAAAAATTCATACCCTTAATCAGACCAGGATGAAAAGACAAGGATTCTCTCACCTCAAATCAAAAGAAAACTACGTCACCTTAAAACAGCGTGATTGTAGCTCTATAGCAATTGTTATTGACTTCAATCGTTATTTGATTTCAACATCCTCGAGTGTTTGTCGCACTTTAAGCCGCTCATTAGCTTATATTGTAAATTGGATTATTTTTAATACTGGCAAAAGACGTAACATGCTAAGCATATTTGAAGTCCCTTGAGTGGTTACGTCCTTTATACCAATATGTTAGGCCACTTTGATCAGACCTGGGCCATAGATTTTTAATATTGTTGTTATGATTTGTTGCGGGTATCACACTCTTTGGTATTAGAACTTACAGCTTATAGAAGACGTAAATTGTTATTATTATTGTTATTGTTATTCATTTCTTGACTGAGGGCTTCTTCTCAAACGTAGATGCAAGCTAAAACACATTCTGGGAAGCCTTGATCATGTATCGGATCACGCACTACAAAATTCACCAAAGAAAGTTCGTTAACAACAGCGTTATCTTTATCTCAAAATGACACAGCAGAGACCTTGATCGTGTAAACGCTATGCTAGCCTATGTCGAGGGAAAATTTTAAAGGTTGGTTCTGTCAAGTTATTGGTAGAAAACAAAACAAATGCGTAGAAAATTTTTAAAATGCCTTTTCTCTCTTAGTTTGAAAACATGCTTCCGGCCAAAATAGGAAAATTCATCAATACCCTTGCTTGCCTTGCTTAATCTGTTCCCCGGCTGTTGGGTGGGATACTAGTCCATCGGCATACTTGTCCACCGTAGGGGTATACATTTGGGGGAAGAAAGAAATAGTAATTGTAAAGAAAACAAGAAATAGTTTCTGGTCTAAGGAAACAAAACGACAGAAATTTTTGAATTCAGGTGCGAGCTTCAAAATAAAGATATAAAGAATGCTGTGTCATCTGACAATAAAGTAAACTCATGGCAATTAATAATGGATTATCTCTCGGCTTGGAATCCTCAGAAAAAAACCGACAACGTGGGAGTTGAACTTGTTTTTGTTTTACTCCGGAAAGCTTTATAATCGCGGTTACCGAGACAAAAAAAAACCATGGCCGGGAAGAGCTCCTTAATTATTGGAGAGGGTTACTGAAGAGAGTACCTCGATAATACTTGAAGCACTATCCTTGCAACATTGAATATTTTTGCTCACTCGCATCAACCATGATATTTAAAATTAAGTCTAAGAGATGATTATAATGCAAATGCATTAGCCCAAAATAAGAAAGGTCTATAATTTTTCTTTTATTTTATTCCGCGTAGTTCCTAACCTCGTAAAGAGTTTTGAGAGGTTGCTATAACAACCTCGCTACAGGTGATTATTGGGGCAAATGACGTAGTCCTGGACCAATCAGAGCGCGCGAATCTCCAAATCACCTGAGTAATAATAATAAATAAGAACGTTTTCTGGTGATATATTTTTACAAATGTGCCTTAAAAAGAAATACGCCAAAAAATGTGGGCACTTTTAGAGTATTAAACTTAATGTTTTTTTTATTATTATTATTCTCTCGTTTCCTTGGTCGTCGTCCTCGTCGTCGTGGCTGCTCGAGCTCGCTAGTAGCATCCAGACACGCAAGAAAAAATTCTGTATGTGTGACGATTTCGTTAAAAAAACCGACGAGTTGATTTAAAACACGCGACGAAAATGACTTTCACGTGGACAAAGGTTGTCACTTGAAAATCACAAGCCATAAACGATGACCTGAGGGTTTTCTGGGAATATTTACTAAGTAATGGTACTCCACTAGACATGACTTTGTTGTCACAACACTGTTTCATATTCAAGCTCCTCTGTACGGTCTAAATAAGCGTCTAGCTTACAAATTAAGGTTTTCGTTTGATTTATATGTTTAAAAGTATAGTTAAAAACAGTCGGGAGCTCTTTCTTAAGAACAAGCTTTTTAAAGGCATCAAGGAAATCTCTTTTGAAAAACGTGTACAGCACCGGATTTGCGGCTGATGTTACAAACCTAAAAATGGCAAATACTTTGGACAAATAGTCCAAAACGGCGAAGGTTTCATCACTGAGAGGAAACCAAACCGAAAACCAAAGAGATAAAACAAACCAGGGCAGCCAACAGGCTGCATACATAAATGCCATCAAGGCAAAAACTATGAGGCACTTTTTTTCCTGTCTTACATTTCTCTGGTTGGTTCCTCCTCTTACAGGCAAAGCGCACCTGCCGCGTTTTGCTATGGTCCTGAACATGGCAAATTGGGATACCATGATTAAGATGCAGGGAACCAAGAATACAAAAGTCAAACAAAACGTGACATAACCAAATTGAATCTTCTTGTAACGATCTGTTAGCTTCTTCGAAAACCAAGCGTACGGCATGGAAGCAATGACTGCTGAAACAAACCAAACCGCCAGCGCAACTTTGAACATGGATTTCTTGGTCAACCGACGATGAGTAAAAGGTTTCACGATTAAGAAATACCGTTCAAGCGTGATGGCGAGGATATGATAAGAAGCTGAAATAACCAGTACATTGTTGAAAATAAGGACGAAAAAGCCGAAGTTGACAGAAGCTGGAGGCTTCATTACGCGCATCACCAAAGTTAGGAACAAAGGGATGGCTATGAAGCCGGTCATGAAGTCGCACAAGCTCAAACTTAGGAGAAGGCAGTTGGTTGGAGTACGAAGACTTTTACATTTGGCAAATAAGTAAAAAACAAGGCTGTTCACCAGAACAATGACAATAGCTATTGGCAGCACCTCACAGATGACTTGGTAATCTGGTTTCATTCTCTAGGAGGACTGCCCTTCAGATACCACGATGATGAGTTTCTCGTTTAAAGTTACTCCAATTAAGTGACTAATTAACAGCTGCAGCCTTTAAGGTTAGCGAGTCTTCGTCAAAAAGAGTATATCATCAAAATCAAATCCCTTGCCGTTTCTTATACAGCAGTTTCCAAATCTTTCTTTGCGTTGATGTTTTTGAGCTCTAAGAAAACAAGTCAGCAACTTAAATAAATGTGTCAAAAAGAAAGGCCTTGAAAGTTCAAAAGATGGACTGTTGTCTTATGACGCTGGAAATGTAACAGGAAAGCCAGTCATCATTAAGTCATATTCAGTTCGATTCAAATTAATCAAAAACAAGTTTTCCCTCTCTGACACTTTTAGTGGCATTGATGGCATTTGTAAAGAATACAAACAAGTTCATCACGAAGACACCATAGAATCATTAAGACAAAAGAAATGCCTCTTTCTTGGAGCTACCAGCTGTTGTCGTCATGAATGTTTGTTTTATCTTATCAGGGACCACGTTGGAACGGCTAACGGCACTCTGGTGTAAATAAAAAATTGGATGAGGTTACTCCGGGATAATCTAGGTCGGAGAAATTATTATCAGCCGAGGCCGAACCCAGTTTCATTATTTTTCAAAAAGAAAGGACATTGCCTTGGAAAATGATGCATTGCGTGCGGAACCCTATAGAATAAGTTAGTCTCCTACCGGATAACCGATAGCAGATATCTGCTAGCAGATAATCTATAGGTTGCACTGATTTCCAAAATTACTTGTAGCCTCTTGGCCAATGAAAATACAGATAGTGAGCACAATGCATAAGAGAAAGGATAATCAAAAGCAAAATATGCTGTATAGGATGCAAATTTAAAAATTCAAAACCCTTTGAGGGGGGTTTGGATCCCCCTCCCCTCCCCCAAAGGAAAAAAAAACGGAAAGATTACTCTGTAGGGAATGTGTGTTTTAGTAATGATTATGAGATAGATTTAATTAAAATGCGAAACTTGATGCAACGCAAGTATCTAGCTGAAGCGAGGGAGGGGGGGAGTGTGCCCTCTAAACAATGTCCTTTTTCTGCAATTTGACACGTTATTTTGAATCAAGTGAGTGTTCATAGCGCGTGGTACCTTGTTTATCCTCGTGATTAAAGTTTGAATAATGGAAGCTTAGAGTGGTTTTCGTTTGAGTGTCGTAAAACCAAAACCAAAGTAATTACTCTGGCCAATCACAAAGGACACAGACAATACATTGAACCAATCAAAACTCGAAGTAATTACATGTGGCTGACGCAAAGCGCGGGAAAATGCATGCGAGCGCGTCACAATTGGCTTTGGTTTTACTTCTGATTGGATGAAAAGGTGGCGCGAATCTTTTAAGCCAATCGCATCGTGTAGAAAGTGCAAAACCAATTACTTTTCGACACTCAAATGAAAACCGCTCTAACAAACAACCGATCACAAAGCGATAGTTGGCCTCCTTCAATAACAGATTCTAACTGTCTCTTGAATTACAATTAATCTAATTGGAAAAAAAGAGATGTTGTACATTGCTTTTATTTTCTGGAAAACAAACTACCGCGAGTAAGGAGGTATCTTTTAAAATGACACAATATTTTATTCAACAAATCATTCTTGATTCTTACAAGTCTTAGTAGCCGAGCCTGCAGAAATCCCCATAACAGGCAAACGTCCTTATAATTTACAAATTTATTTTACATTTTTTCTTTCGTTAAGTCCTGGATTAAAAAACGACGATAGTTTTCTTACTTAATTTTCACTTCAGGCAACTTAACAATGCCGTCCCTTTGATGTCTGAGTTCTTAGATCTTATTATTTAAGTTAAAGACGAATACCAGGCTGATTTACAATCACTCCGTTAAGAGAATATGATATTAACGGTCCCATTCTGTTACTTAATATATCAATTAAGGCATCGATAGACGACTGATTAACTGCTGTTAATATTTACAAAACCTCACAACACTGACTCACAAGTTTCTAAAGAAGCATCTTGTTTGCGAATTAGAGTTCGCTTTTGAGTTGTTACTCTAGAGTTCTGAACAGCTGGCTTTTTCTTAAGAACAAGCGTTTTGAAAGCATTAAGGAAATCTCTTTTGAAAAACGTGTACAGGACTGGATTTACAACTGAAGTTACAAAACGAAAAATGCCGAATACTTGGGATAAATGATCCAAAATGGCGTTGGTTTCTTTGCTTTTTGGAAACCAAAGGGAAAAGCAAAGTGATAGAACAAACCACGGCAGCCAACAGGCTAAATATATAAACGCCATCAAGGCAAAAATAGTCAGACATTTTTTATCTTGTTTAGCTCTTTGCTGAGAGGTTTCTCTCCTAGTCAAGGCGCACCTACCACGTTCTGCTATGATCTTGAACATGCGCACTTGAGACACTACGATTAAGATGCAGGGAACCAAGAATACAAAAGTCAAACAAAATGTTATATAACCAAACTGAATCTTCTGGTAACTGATTCGATCTATAAACTTCTTCCAGAACCAAGCATATGGCATATAACCAATGACCACTGAAGTTAACCAAACGACCAGCGCAATTTTCATCATGGATTTCTTGGTCAGCTGACGATGGACGAACGGTTTCATGATTGCGAAATATCGCTCAAGCGTGATGAGAAGAATATGGTAAGCAGCTGAAATAGCCAATGCATTGTTGAAAGTGAAACAAAAAGACCAAACTGGACTAAAGCTGCTAGGCTAATGTCTAGCATACCCTGCATGCCTATCCCCATAATTATGAATAAGGGGATGGCTATAAACCCGGTCATGAAGTCGCACAAACTCAAGCTCAGAAGAAGACAGTTGGTTGGAGTACGAAGACTTTTACGTTTGGCGAACAAGTAAAAAACAAGGCTGTTTGTCAAAACAATAACAATTGCTATAGGCAGCACCTCACTGATGACCTGGTAATTTACTTTCATTCCTTGTGGTAATTCCTCACCGGATAAAGTTCCATTTGACCTCTCTGATGATGACCTGTTCGTTATGAAGTAAGTGTTATTCTGCATCTTCAGTATCCGGCAGTAAACAGCCAAAAGATCATCGGATGCAACCCAATGTTTACTCAACCTAATGCTCCTCCCACTGACTTGAAAGGGTTTTCGATGCTCCTAAAAAGATAATTAAAGAAAAATGTAAAAGTTTGTTGTTAGGTTTAGACGCTTCATGTTATGTACCATACCTAGCCTAGGCAATGGACATCTTTGAACGCGCTTCGACGAGGCTGCTCTTTTTCGATGGACATCTTTGAATGCGTTTTGAGGCGAGACTGACAGTTTATGGCCACATTTGACTACGCTTGTTATGTGCTTTGAAGCAACCCCTACGATCAACGGAAATCTTTGACAACGGTGCACTTTGGGGTGACAAAAAGAAAACAATCAAGACTGGCAATTTTTAATTTTTCGACCTTTAAATTTGAAAAATGAACTGATTGAATTCAATTTTCCTGTTTTTCGAATTATAAATTAAAACTGAGATTTTCATGTTTGATTTTACTGAAAACTAAATGGACGGAAGGAATAAGGGTTCGTGTGGTTTTCGTCCATTTTATTTTTATTCCAAATTGAAAATTGAAATTCAAAAATTCACAATCGTGAGTTTCAATGTTTGATTCCTCAAAAACTGAAAATCACAAATTTACAATCTCAATTTTCAATGTTTTAAGAAATCAAAAATTGAAAATTGAAAATGGTCAGTTAGTTTTTATTTCTTGTTTTTAGGGAAAAGGAAAACTAAACGATAATCTTCAATTTTGAGACTTTTGCTTGGTACCGAAGTTAAAATTGTATTTTCAACTTCCTATTCCATAGATTCCAGCTTATTAAAAATTCAAACTTGACAAAGCTATTCATGTGTAACGAAACTGCGGGAAACAGTATCAATGATGATGAAATCCGAAGTGAAAATCGTTTTTTGATTTTTGTATTCGATAAAAACAAAAATTGAAAACAGACCAAATATAACTGTGACGGGTGGGGGAGGGTAAAAGCGGAAGTGGTGCCACTGCAAACAAGATGGCGGTCGTCTTGTAGTGAAGGAGTCTTCGTCGAGCCGTCTCTGGGGGAAATGCTACGCCAACAGCAATCCAAAGCTTGCCTGTATCATGGCCGAGACGTTTTCAAAGAAATAATCTGAATGTTTTTTCACTGATAAGTATGCTTTTGTTGTAACCTTGCAGCATTATACGTACACAACGCAGCCAGGTAGAGCGTTTCAGATCGGCTGTGAGCTGTGGACTGCGGCCAGACTGCGGACTGCGGACTGCTGATAACGGACTGCGGACTACGGACCACGGACCGCGGATTGCGGACTGCGGACTGCGGACTGGGTATGTATAAAATACGGACCAGGTATAAAATGCGAACTACGTGCTATGTTTTTAACTGAGAATATTGTCACTCGACCCTAACCATGTATAACTCCTTTAATGTTGTTGTTAAAGTGAAGGAATTTTGGGTCTAACAAGAAAATCTTTTAAAGATTTTTCCTTCCGATAAGAACGAATGGGGGCGTGGGGATATATTTGCGCGAGTGCTGTTGTGATGACAGTTCGTCAGTGTAAATTTTATTGTTGTGTGGAAAGAGTTCGCGAAATCAATAAAGTTGTTGATTTCGGTCTCAGGAAGAGTCCACACTCAGAATATAACATCAATAAATTAAATTTCTTTCAGCCGGAGAAATGGCTCTAAGGGCTCGCATGTAGTAGTTGTTTCTCAACGTGAGCCATGAAAATGACCGAGAAAGCAACCGGGCGCCATTTTGGTGGCCATTGTAATGCCGTGAGTCTGTACGTAGTGTTTGTCGGTGAATTTGAATTAGTTTTCTGTTAAGATCACCCGCATTAAGTCTCCCAAATGTGAAGTAAGGATAGGTAACTTTGACTGATAATGTTCTTCGTAATGGTGACAGACGATGTCGATTCCCTCTTCCTGGGAAATGCTAGTGCAAAGAGAACACACGTTTAACGTAGCTTAAATTGTTTCATCTGGAAGAGACGTGTTTTCAATGATATCACTTTTGTGTGCAGTGTCCTCGATGTAAGACTCTTGTTTTGCGCGATTGGCCTGGTAAAAGCGAGTCCACAAAACTACAAATGCGTTCTTTGGGACCACCGCTACCAGAGACGATTGGTCTGCCGGCAGGAATAGTTTTATAAATTTTGGTCAGCGTGTAAAACGCTGGTATTCTTGGTGATTTTGGCCAAAACTGAGGCACTTGTAAGTCATTTGAGCAATATGCCCGATTATGAGCAGAGCGTTTATAGTTGATATCACTTTTGTGGCTGTTTCGTATACAATCGGTTCATCATAGATTTCCAAAACCAGTCCTGCTATTAAATATTATTTAAAAAGTTCTTATCAAGACTCTGCGGTTACCATTGATTGTTAAAACCTAAATCCCTTCACTTTGACAACAACGAAGGAGTTATACACGGTTAGGGTCTAGTGACAAAAGTTAGTTTCCATATATTAATCATTCAATTATTTTCCCCATTCTGATTGGCTAAAAGCACACGCATAATTCACCGTAACCAGCTACTGATGACCAAATTCGGAAGCATTTTGTGATTAATGAACCGATGACGTCAAAAGTGCAGCTTTCTTGCAGGATGCACCGTTAACCGAGAAGACCTGGGGACGAGGTTGAGTTGTTTTGGTTGTGAAAACAAAAATGGCGGACATTTCACTCGTTCCAAGAGTAAGAACTAGGCGAAATAATAGCTAAAAACATGGCAAGAACAGCAAGAAGACAACTCGAAGGGCGACATCTGCTATTTGGAGAATATTTGCGGAGTTGAACAACCCTAAACGTGCACTATCGATCTCCATAATTCTTCATAAGATACTCAGCCTCATTCATTACTTGTTAATTATGCTTTGACGATAGCTCTGAATTATTTTCTCCAATTCTTTAATGAACCGATTATGCTTGTAACTTTGTTATGAAAAAAGTAGGACAACTGAAATCAATAAATCGGATAATGTTTGCTTAACTTATGAGGGAAGCAACATAAGTGTAGAGCTATTAATTACTTCCACTTCACAAAGAAAAGTAACCCGGAATATCTACGGTAATCAACTTTTTTTTCTGTAGCACCATATTAAATAAAAATTAGCTTTCTATAACAGAGATTTGGGCGGGAATACTTCAGGGTTCTTAGTCGCTGCGGTTATACTACCGCCCACAAAGGATTGTTGAGCCGCTATATATGTATATTATTAGGGAACACGAGCTAGCGTGGACGCACAGTCGGGCGAACTTAACAGAAACTTTCCGAAAAAAGGCTTGAACGTGCTTCATTCCAGCTACTGCGCCGTTCATTCAGTCTTAAGATTTAAAAAAAAGTCGACAATGAAGTGCGTAATAAATGATCATACCATTAAGAAATCAGTCGCTTTCACCACCCAAATGAGAAATTTAAACGGTTTAATGGTAGGCTTGTTATTCTAAAAGAAAGGTCATTCGGGCCTGAGGTAAAACCAAATGTTAGTCAGACGATCTCATTGAATAATTTATCAAAGTAACAATTTCTTTAAATTAAAAAGTGTCATTTCACAAAGCCGTTTAAGACTTTTTAATGAATCAAGCGGCTACGTTTTACCTGTATTTGAATTATCGAGAATGTCTCGGGTTTTTTCCAGCTTATAAAACCTCCTTCCATCCTTGTTGACTCCAGTTTCTAGTCTCATTTACAAAAAAGACCCTTTGAGGCATTCGATTTCAAGCTGTGCATGACCATACGATTCCCCGCCAAATACTGCGATATTTGCACACATGCAGGTCATCATTTGTAAAATTTCACATTGGTGTACACGTTGAAGGCGGGGGGTCGATGGGTCAACACTTATCGCCATGACCCCCCCTTATTATAGGAAATTAACACTCCATGAAATTAACGCGAATCGTTAAAATTCGCGTTAATTTAAGTCGCGTTAATTTCGTTGAGCGTTAATTTCCGCGACGTTAATTGAGTGCAGCGTTAATTTCCGCGCTCTTAGTTTCCAGCATTTTAACCCCAATTTTGGAACCTGTCCAGACATTCTTGACACCTAAAAAACATTAACTACAAGCTTTCTTTCTTTCCATTTACCCTTTATTTTTCATCTTTCACAAAAGCAAAGGCGAAGGTTAACAATGTTTCGAGTTCATCTTCATCGTTGTCGCTGTCAGAAGTGATGTCAGCTCAGTTTTGAATTTTTTGCATCCAGTGTTGAAAGAAATTTGTTCCAGTTGTCACCACCAACTGTGTCTTAATCGTGTTAATTTCCTTTATTATGAAATTCTACCACCTCTTTCGCGTTAATTTGCTTTATTCGAAAGTCGTTTTCCATTAAATTCGCGTTAATTTCCAATACCTTAATTTCATGGAGCGTTAATTTCCTATAATAAGGTACTGCGATATTTGCACACATGCAGGTCATCATTTGTAAAATTTCACATTGGTCTACATGTTGAGGGCGGAGGGTCGATTGGTCAAGACTTAGCGCCATGATAGTTTATAAACCATGCCAAGGTTGCTCAAAATGTGATTCCCTATTCACTAAAAAAAATCACCACAATGGAAGAAGCACTTGAAAAAATGATCGATCTAAAGTCTGATCTGGCCAGCCAATGCATCAGACGCCTGTAGGTTTTGTTTTTCATGGGCTCGTTTCCTGACGGCAACACACCATATATTTCTTAGCCTCAAACATGTGACAAGAATAATATTTGTAACCAACTATTTAAGATTAAAATTTGCCATCTTAGTATTCATCAATCCCTCATTAGTAGTGAAATTTCTAAAAATACAAATCTTCACCACGTTTTTGTGGGTAAACGCCAACCTTCACCTGGCGATTGTAAAATATATGAAAATTACAGAACATAGGAGGTTTATTGTGTTTCAAAACTAGTGCGTTGTCGGAGTTGGTTTTCTTACTGAGGCTAAATATATTCCGCGAAAGTCGTCTACAAGTAAATGATAAAGGAATTACTGAACAATAAAAGTAAATACTTTTATAAAAAATACAAAAAAGCATGCATTAAATACTTACTAACGAATACGACAATAGTAAGTATAGTTATAAAGGCTTCCAGTTTCTTGAAAGTTTCAAATTCTATAAGA